TTTATCAGTATCAGAGACAGAGATGCATTCCCAGATGATGGAATTGCACATGACTGAACGTTAAGGAAAGATAAATGGCATTGGGAATCCACTATAAAACCCAGAGACGCCTTTTTAGAACATCATAATTCATACAAAACTGCCAGCAACAAGAACTGCTGTTAAAGGAGATGCAAATCAAGATATTACTAAAGGGTGTTTAATACAGATTCAGTTCCCATTCTGTCTACACAACTTCCATTTCAGCATTTTTAAGAAGCATATTTAAGGTGACATTGTATGAAAACATTTCAGTAACAACAAACCCAGCCTATTTTAAATTATAATGACAAAAAACAAGGAAGGGAACCGTGCCTGTATAGTGTAAATACTCAGTAGAAAACTAAGCATATAACCACCTTTTCTGCCTCGCTCTCATGAGAAGCCTCAGAGCACCAAAATATGATAGTTTAACACTAAAGTCCAAGTGAGCAGAAAAGGTAGCAAAATATTTCTCAACGATGAGATTTCTGAATGAATTAACTAGCCTTAAAAGAAAGCTTCCTTGATGTCTACATCATTTTTAATAATCAAAAACCCAAGCGTTTGAAAGAAAACAGCTTGCGACAACATGGTTTACCTGAGGGGTTTAAGACTCATCATTTCATCACGTCTTTTCTCTTTTCTCTTAAGCTCGGTCTCTGTAGACTTCAGTTTGTCTGGAGCAAGACGCAGCTTGGACTGCAGGTCACTGATCACCTCTTGCAGTTCAGCCTCTGTTTGAAAAACCCTTTGACAAACTGGACAACACGACTGGTTCTCCTCCGTCAGTTGCGTAATGAACTGGGAGTACACCGCAGTGGCTCCAGCAAGCACAGCTGGTTGAGAAGGAAACAAAAGGCTTTATGTAAAAAAATAAACAGTGCATAAAAATCAGATATGAACTAGATACATATTTACCATAAATGAGACAAAATTATAACCCGCAAAATCATAAAAGTTGGAAAACAAAATGGCCCTAAGCGACCAGGTTGCCCTATGGCACCTCCCGAAGACCTCTTCAACCTGAAGTCTCTTTTATTAAGCCAAGCTCATCTCTCTGTAATTAACAGTGGAAGCAAGCCCTTCTTTCAGAAATTATTTTTTTCAGATAGTGCCAGGCCCTGTGAGCCAAACCCACACCAAACAGCTGGCTCTGCACGTGTCTTCACACCTGGCAGACACGGGACTCAAGCATTTCCTTCACGTTCTACACGCACAGCGAGCCAGAGCAGATATCCCTCTTATTATGAGTAAATGAAGTAACTGAAAGAATCAAAACAACTGATCTTGCTTAAGTATAAGGAAAACTTGTTCAAAACCAGCGCAGAAACTGTTGAAATTACTGAATATTACTGATTGTTTCTCCTGCACAAGCAACAGACTGTCTCCATGTCAGAGACTTACAAGCTTTAGGGAACAAAATGTAGTTATAAATGAACTTACCTCGCTGTTTTGAACTTTTTTCAATTTCATCTTGCAGTTTGTTCAGATCACTGTCAAAATCTTGGCTTCCACAAACATCAAGAATCTTTGCCTCTTGAAGGGACAACTCTGCTTCTTTTTTTTTTAGCTCATTACTGAAGTGAGTTCTATCACACTCTACTGATGCCAGTCGTTTGCTGAAACAGCAATGCATAAACTCTTTTATTAAAAAAAAAAAAAAAAAAAAGACGTTTTCAAACTGTTCAAGCAAAAAAAAAACCATGGGAAGTTAATCTGAAATTAGTATTACAGAGCTGTTCTCCAGTTCTTCTTTAACGATTTTTCAGGAAACCTATAGTGTCAATTTTTCATTAACCTAACTGCAGCACAAAGTGTTTCACTTTAATTTCCCTTTGTTTTCTAGATGCTTAATGATGAGAAACTAACTTCTAATGACAAAGGCATACAAAACTTTCTAGAATAATACAACATTCTTCCCCTACTGAAATTATTGCTTATGAGATATTATTGAACCTCTTCAGTAAGGAATGTTAGCATCCTTCTATTCATGTTCTGCACTTTTGAATTACACAATATTCTTATACTTAAAATCTTGGGGGTTTTGTTTTGGGGAAGTTTAATGTGTATCATTGCATAGCATGCTGTTACCTACTCTTTCTAACAAATTGTTTTATATAATCAAATGAAATAAGGAGCAGGTAATTGCACACGAACTGTGATACAGCCACTAACTACCCTGTGACTTATAAGAAATTTGAAGACCAGCAATTTGCCCCCCAAGCACATTCATTCAACTTGGATTAGTATAAACAATTAAGAATGTCCCAGAACAATATTTTGCTCTCTGCCTTTAGTGCTGCCTTCAACGTACTACCAATGTTGTGATTTTATTAATTAGCACAAACTATACCAGCTACACATGACAAAAATTCTTCAGGATGACTTTTTTTTTGATTTTTGCAAATACCAAAATAAACAGTAATGAATTCAAGTAACAAGTATGTTAACCATATGAAACTTTCCAACATTTCAATTCATAATTATGAAAATACTTATGGAGACATAATGAATTAAATTAATACCCACTTAAGGACAGCAAGATTACTCCTTGTCTGATTAATCTTTCTACTTTTATTATAAAGCCAGTCTTCAAGTTGGTTTTTATTTGGAAAGTATCCCAGCAGCGATGTCAGTTCCTCAGAATGTCTCGATTTCACTCTTCTAATCTGCTCTTCTTTCTCTGCCTGCAGAAATGAAGCATTTTCAGTTAATTTTTTCATATCTTCATGTTTATGTCACCCAATGCGTTCATGGGGTTAAAGGCTTCTACAAAGTCAGAGAGAAGCTTTACTTATCACTGTTGATAAACACCTGAAAAATACACAAATCTTGAAGGGACTGTATTAATTTCTTGTCCCCCTCTTATGAGATGATGATAGAAAAATTACTTTGTCTTTCTTCAGCATTTCCATCTGGGTAATTGTCATGGTGTGTAGATTCAACTGTTCCATCTCTTGATCCAGCTTCCGAAGAGCTCTGTCCAGGTTTATCTTCTCATTTTGCAGAGTTTGTACTTCCAGTTCCAGTGTTTCTATGTTGCTGTTCCTCTCAGCCTTCTCCAGCTCGTGCTCCTAAACAAAAAATAAAGGCCCACAAGACTTAATAATTACACTAATCAATAACATTCTAACTAAATGAAAGAGAAGAAAGCTCTTGAACTACCCAGCAGCAGTATCATTGGCTGGTACAGGAACAACACAAGATTTTTAAAGAATACCTGAAAAAGGACAAAGGCTGGGATTTTGGCAGGGGAAAATAAAGCAGATTCTGTTCTGAAATGTAGTACTGCCCCAAGCTGCTCATGCTTTTACCATAACCACATGATTTAGCTTCAGGAAGCTCACACATATTTAGATTGATTCTCTGTACTTTAACCCCTACTGTACATTAAATTTGGAATTATCCCAGTGAGGAGGCCACAAGAAACACTGTCAAGCATTAAATTCATATACTGCTAATAAACATAACATATTTGACTGCAAAGGCACAGCCAGCTGTTTCACTGGGACATAAAATGCATGTAACTTTATAATTCATTGGATAAAATGCTTATAACAGCTGGCCCATCTCACAGACAAGTTATATGGAAATATGTAGGCAGTGTAACAGTTTAATCCATATTTTTCAGGCCCAATAATGTAAGACTGATTAATCTTATGCTACTATAGCTGTGGCTATTACCCCATTTATAACTCACTGAGCAGGAGCAGTATATTCTATTCATACACTGTAAAAACCAAAATAGTGAATAGTCCCTGCCTTTCAGGGGCACCATCTGAGCAGACAAAGCATAAAGAAGGTATTAAAAGGGGAAAAAGCAGCAGATGGAGTAAGCATTAAGGTTTTTTTGTTTATTTTCAATGATAAAGCTGAGGGTTTAATTTTTCAATTACAGTAACTTACTGTCTTGACAATCTCTTGCTCCAGCTCCAGAATTCGGTCTGAAAACCCCTCCAGCTGCTGCAGTTCATGTTTTACATTCTTCAGCTCCACTTGTTTCTTATTCTGAATGTCTGATTTTAGGTCAATGGTTCTTTCTAATCCAGTTTTCTTGTCTCTTATTTCATCTATCTGTTTTTGTTTCATTGCTTCTTTTCGTGCAAATTCTCTCTGAAAAGAAGTCAGCAATAACATGCTCGTTTTATCATGGGAAAACAACATTTACAAACATTTCTTCACTCTACCCTGCAAATATTCACCATGTAATACAAGGTATCGAAATACTTAGATAACCAGAACTTGTCAAAAAATTTCTGCTGAAATGCTTTGATAGGAAAATGCATCATATGGGTAGTGTTCTGGGAGAGCAACTCCATTTTGAAGGTGACTTCAACAAAAAGTTGTTTATTTTCTAACCAGTTGCCCACTGTAATTCTTCCTCAGGTTTGTTAACTTGTCAGAGATCCACCGAAAAACCATCTGTTCAATAGCTTTGGCAATTCAGAGCCCTTTATCACCACTCTTACTTCCAAGGAAAGATTCATGCAACTCATTATAAAGAATTCTAGAAGAAAAAAATGGCTTCAGTTTCCTCCTCCCAACATTCTTCCTCCCAGTGCCATGAAGACACATATGGACCAATAACACACTAATAACCAATACTAACCGCACCACTAAAACAACAAAATTCATACCATTAAATTATTTGCAGTTTCTGCGTCTCTTTTCTGTCTCTCCTTCAACAATGTGTGAAAACTGCTGATGTGCCTTTCATCAAAAGGTGCTCGTCCAAAACCCTCTAATTCCAGCTGTGCTGCCAAAGACTGAATTAACGAGTCCCTCATTGAGATGTGCTCCTGGTGACGATCCGCTTGCATTTGAAGACGACCTTCACGAAAAGAAAATGTGACACAAACCCTCAAAAACTGAGGCAGAAGATACATCTGGGATTCAAAGACAGTTGCAACAATTTTCTTAAAGTCTTTGAAACCAAAGTATTTCAAAAAAATGCAAAAAGCTCCAGAATAAAAACAAGCTTTAGCTTGAGAGATTGCTATTTCAGGTTACTACATTTTTATTAATTAAATAAATCAAGAATTTAAAGGGAAGCCTTTAAAACACTAAAAATTTTATTCTTATAAACAAAGCAAACCCAAACATATTTTATGCAGGCATATATTCTGTGTCTCAACTCCTACAGCTTTACTGGAATTCCCATAGTCCATCTAAGAGGGAATACACAATATATGAAAGAATATTATGCTAAAGCCCAAGCCCTAGGCCTGACTAGTCTCCTGCCCCCACCTGAGACACTGAATCATAGAATCATAGGTAGAATCACAGAATGGTTTGGGTTGGAAAGGACCTTAAAGATCATCTAGTTCCAACCCCCCTGCCATGGGCAGGGACACCTTCCACCAGACCAGGTTTCTCAAAACCCCGTCCTATTAATTTTTCAATTACAGTAACTTACTGTCTTGACAATCTCTTGCTCCAGCTCCAGAATTCGGTCTGAAAACCCCTCCAGCTGCTGCAGTTCATGTTTTACATTCTTCAGCTCCACTTGTTTCTTATTCTGAATGTCTGATTTTAGGTCAATGGTTCTTTCTAATCCAGTTTTCTTGTCTCTTATTTCATCTATCTGTTTTTGTTTCATTGCTTCTTTTCGTGCAAATTCTCTCTGAAAAGAAGTCAGCAATAACATGCTCGTTTTATCATGGGAAAACAACATTTACAAACATTTCTTCACTCTACCCTGCAAATATTCACCATGTAATACAAGGTATCGAAATACTTAGATAACCAGAACTTGTCAAAAAATTTCTGCTGAAATGCTTTGATAGGAAAATGCATCATATGGGTAGTGTTCTGGGAGAGCAACTCCATTTTGAAGGTGACTTCAACAAAAAGTTGTTTATTTTCTAACCAGTTGCCCACTGTAATTCTTCCTCAGGTTTGTTAACTTGTCAGAGATCCACCGAAAAACCATCTGTTCAATAGCTTTGGCAATTCAGAGCCCTTTATCACCACTCTTACTTCCAAGGAAAGATTCATGCAACTCATTATAAAGAATTCTAGAAGAAAAAAATGGCTTCAGTTTCCTCCTCCCAACATTCTTCCTCCCAGTGCCATGAAGACACATATGGACCAATAACACACTAATAACCAATACTAACCGCACCACTAAAACAACAAAATTCATACCATTAAATTATTTGCAGTTTCTGCGTCTCTTTTCTGTCTCTCCTTCAACAATGTGTGAAAACTGCTGATGTGCCTTTCATCAAAAGGTGCTCGTCCAAAACCCTCTAATTCCAGCTGTGCTGCCAAAGACTGAATTAACGAGTCCCTCATTGAGATGTGCTCCTGGTGACGATCCGCTTGCATTTGAAGACGACCTTCACGAAAAGAAAATGTGACACAAACCCTCAAAAACTGAGGCAGAAGATACATCCGGGATTCAAAGACAGTTGCAACAATTTTCTTAAAGTCTTTGAAACCAAAGTATTTCAAAAAAATGCAAAAAGCTCCAGAATAAAAACAAGCTTTAGCTTGAGAGATTGCTATTTCAGGTTACTACATTTTTATTAATTAAATAAATCAAGAATTTAAAGGGAAGCCTTTAAAACACTAAAAATTTTATTCTTATAAACAAAGCAAACCCAAACATATTTTATGCAGGCATATATTCTGTGTCTCAACTCCTACAGCTTTACTGGAATTCCCATAGTCCATCTAAGAGGGAATACACAATATATGAAAGAATATTATGCTAAAGCCCAAGCCCTAGGCCTGACTAGTCTCCTGCCCCCACCTGAGACACTGAATCATAGAATCATAGGTAGAATCACAGAATGGTTTGGGTTGGAAAGGACCTTAAAGATCATCTAGTTCCAACCCCCCTGCCATGGGCAGGGACACCTTCCACCAGACCAGGTTTCTCAAAACCCCGTCCTACCTGGCCTTGAACATCTTCAGGGATGGGGCATCTACAGCTTCTCTGGGCATGCTGACCATTCAGCTTTCACCTTTTTCTTGGTTAAAACACACTTACACAATCACATCTTCATCTAAAGAAAGTACCAGCTCCGACAGTGAAAGCAACTGTGTTGTAAACTGCTGGGCTGACGTTGCTCTGTGCCACCATAACTCATCCATTTCAGGTATTTGTACAAAGAACAGTCAATTTAAGGACAAGGGTACTACATGTTGTAGTTACACCTCAAACCAACAAGTGCCCATTAGAAACTTCAGGAGAAGAACACCAAGACCTGTCCACCTGTGAGATTCTCACACCATAATGTGCAGCTGGGCTCAAACTCATACACAGTTTAGGGGGTTTGTCCAGTTCAAATTCCTTCAAATCTTACCAGTAGTTCCATTTCAGACCTTAATTAAATTAAAAAATAAATACAAAGTTATAGATGAAGTCTAAAATACCTCGTTCAATAAGTAGTTCTGATTTCTCACTGTTAAATCTCTGGCATTCTTTAGTGGCTCTATCAAAGTCACGCTTACAGTCCAACAATCTCTTCTCCTTCTCCTTCACTGTTTTCTGGTGGTTCTGGTATCTATCTATTAGTTGTTCATCTGGTCCTTGAAAAACCTGTATGCCAAAGACAATACAGAATCAAGTTAGCTTTTTAACTAGATTTACAAGCCAATCAGCGAAGTTTTTTTTTTAAAAAAAAAAGTATAGTTTTCACCATAACAGAATTCAAGAATAAAAACCTCCCATACAGAATTTCTATACTAAGGCATATACTGAGAAAAATTAAATATGTTACAAGCAAAACTGGAAACTGGAATATCTATTTTTCTTAGGCTGATAAAACAAATGAATTTAAATTTTTACCACTATTTGCATTTGTCAAAATAGTTTTCAACGCTTTGGCAGAGTCACAACAGAAGACTGACAATTACTTCTTGTTGTAAGAGAAAGAAATTTAAAAATCTTCAGGGAGATGAACAATATTAACATCAGGAGACATCCCAGTAGGTCTGACAAGTGCTACTATCATCAACATATTGTGAGACAGGTAGGTATTTCCAAGTTACACATGACAGGGCATTGTTAGAGTAATTGTCACTTTTATGAAAACTTTTGTCAGGTTTGCCTTCCTGGCAAGCTAGTCTATGGTGAAGAGTTACAAAAAGCAATTTAACCCAAATTACACAGAAACTAATACAGCTTTATTAAACCATATTTGCAATATCTGATAACATTAAGTGAGCTATGAAAACGCTCTTCACCAACACCCAATGCATAATAAAATATATACTTAGTTCCCTGGGGAGCCAAACAGCATAAAGAATTTAAAAGGTGTGGAATTTAAAGGTGACCTTTTCCATCTTCTGTTGCAAATCTTGATTGTCTTTCTCCATCTGCTTCTTCCTGCTCTCCAGGGCTTTTACATCGTTGTCCAGCCTCATGACTTTCATGAGATTCTGCTCTACTGCCGCCAGAGAAGTCTGCAAAGGAAAGAATGCTGCAAGTAAAATATCTCACCAGCTTATCAATGCCATAATCAATTGTTCTTTACAATATAGTCAGTCTCAGTGTAGAATTTTCAGATTTATAAAGCATTTTTTTAAAAATAGGCAGTGGTAAATTTTAGTTTATTTTTAATTTTAGTTACAGTTTATAATAGTTTTAGTTACCAGCTAAATTTGAGAAAGATTTTAAATTAAGTTATAGAAATCAATGCTGCTACAAGAATTTAACGAACTACATTCCTAAACCTCCACTGAGTGTTTCCAGACCAGACCAGCACCTGCCAGGTTTGTTGGGGAACACTTGGTTCTGCTTCAGAGCAGAGGACTAAATGACACAAGTAAAAGAAGATTTTAATCAAGAAATTCGTCCAGATTCCCCATTTCTCTGTGTTCTTTAGTACATATGTATTGTCTTAATGTAATTGTCACACAAATTACCTTTAGAGGATCAAGTTGATTCTCGATGGATTTTACATTGTCCTTAGAAGCAGCCAGTTGAGCCTCTCTATTGCTGAGATGATCCTGGATTTCCTGTGCTTTTTCTTTATTCTGTTTTAGATATTTCAATTCTGCCTGACACTCTTTCACCTTCGAGCTTTGTTTCAGTCGTACCTGACGGAGAGTTTCGAGTGCTTTAATATACCTTTAAAAAAGACGAAATTTCAGATCCTACTGGCAATAGAGCAATAGATGCACAAAATGTACCTTAGACATTTTCATTAACACCCACATTACTAAAGAAAACATTTTCTTACTTAGTTTTTATTTAGTTATAGTAAAGAGAAAAACCTTGTTGCTGAAAAGATCTCATCAAATTTCTGTTTCAGGGCTTTCCCTTCACTTAACGGCCAGTTGGATTCTTCTTGGTGGCAGAAAATGACGTTGTTAATCACGGATTTGGAAACACCAAGGGCGCTGATCATCTCTCGATCGATTTCTGCGCACTTGGAACTCAGGCTGACCTTCTCGCCATGCCTACATAACACAGATAAAGAAAATCCACAAAGAACTTACTGGCAAGTTCTTTTGAAAGAAGCAAACTGCATTTTTAACAGTATAATTTCATTATAACTCCAAATTCAAAAACCAGACGAGCAACAGTTTTTAAGCATATAATTACCACGTTCAACACATGCATTTAACGCTGTCAGTACTTGTACTATTACACTTTTTGAAACTCTGCAGGACCACCAGAGGGAGCAAAAACCCATCCTGAATGAAGTGAACACACTCCTTAAATAGTGGAGATCAGAGTTAAAGACAGGCCAACAGTGAACCGAAACCGAAAACGGTGCTAAAGGAAGTAAAGCCTACATCCTCCACACAATGCTGCTTTCAAACTGCATCATTATTAATACAATTTTCAAATAAATGCAAGTTAATAGATAAAAATAATTCTTAAAGTAGTGGCTATCAAATATAGGATTTTTGAATCAACTCATAGATTAAAGCTATATAATTTCATCACTTTATCCAAGAGCACTGGTAGCTAGAACAAGGAATACATAACGAAGTCCTGTCTTATACATAAAAACATACAAAACCTAAATCGATCTTTGTGACAAAGTAGGAAAAAACACTGGACGACTTACTTTGTTCTAGTAATGACACCTTCGAGTGTTTTAAATTCTGTTTTCTTGCCTTTCTGGGTGCAGACCATGGACCGCTGGACGGCTACGAGCTCTCCGTTTACATCCCGGAACTGCAATCGAATCTGAGCTCTAACATCTGTTTCATTGGCAACCTTTAGTAGAAACAAAGAAAAACCAAATAAGGGAAATTCTTCTCAACATCCAAATGAAGTAAACACACATTAAATCTAGTCACTATGACTTTTACCTTTGGATCGTGAACAAACGAGTTTCCTTTGGTTCCAGGAGGAAAATCTCCAGTGGATATGTATTTAAGACATTCAATGATAGTCTAAGAAAACAGAAATAAGTATAACTTTATAATGGCAATTTAGAGGAAACAAGATGGACTACAGGCAAAACCACTGTTAACAGCCCAAATATTTAAATGAGATAAATACGTAGGGAGAGAGAAATAAGAAATAATGTTTTATTTTTTGAATATAATGTGAATATAGTACTTTGCAACATCAGTTTTGATCAGAATCTGGACCAATTTCCCAGGGAAAAATATCAATCAGTGGTCTGCAAAATCCAGATGTGAAAGCAAATCTCTACTAATGCTAAATGCCATATTTACAGTAAACAGCAAGATTTTTGCGATATTATTAATACCTTTCTGTAGAGATAATTTTTCATATTTTGAGACCTTTCAGAGCTATTTACAGTTCCAAACCAAACACATAGTAAGCCTTACCGTTTTTCCTGCACCATTTGGTCCCACCAAAATAGTTAATGGACTAAAAAAAGTGATAATTTGCTTGTCTTTATCCTCTATCCCAAAACTCCTCACTCCGAGGATACTCATTTTCTCAATCTTTGACATTTCTGCAGAACTTCTCTTCCAAAGTCAGAAGCACGAACGTGATAAACCCTGTAAAAAATAAAGCTTCATGAAAAAAAAAATCTAGAAGGCAAAAATCACAGCATATCACTGAAAGCTGACAACACACCTATACAAGCACCAGGTATTATGAACATCTTAAAAAACACAGTTAAGGCTCTTCAGTTGTGGCTCAAGGTACAGAACATAGACAGGCAAAACTCTCATTTGTTTTATACTGAGAAGCTAACCAACTCCATGTTCAGAGAACTGCCACACCATTTATCTTTACATCAAAACAATGGCCAAAAATAAGCCTCGAAGGGTGTGAGAAAGGCGCTTCATTCCACCTCACAGAAACCCACACGGGCACTTTCAGAAAGCCCCAATCACAACGGAGGCCCCAGTATTCCCCCTCCCCTTTAAAAATCCACTGTGGTACCGCAATACTTTAAATCAGCTCCGCTCCTGCCCCTGTTTCTCACAGGATTGTCCCCCAGTTCGTAGGGGACGCCCAGCATCGCCCTTGTCACCGCATGAGGGGGAAGGAAAAAGGCCCCAGGGGCGGGCAGGGCCCCGGGGCTGAGGTAAACTGAGGGAAACAACTCCTACCCCAAGGCCCGTCATCGCCCCACGGTAAAGATGTACATTTCAAATGCACGTGTATGTGTATTTCAGGTGTGTTTCATCTCGCCGAAAGGCCTCAGGGCCCTCCCCGTCTCCCTCTGCCCCCCCCCCTGCCCAGGCGCCTCAGGGGAGGCCCGGCGGGGCTCGGCCTTGCCCGGCCACCGCTGCGGTCGGAGGGAAGCCGGCGGTCGGAGGGAGACCGGCAGCGAGGAACCGGGCGGGAAAGGGCATTTCCTGCAGAAACCCCGCCGCCGGGGCAGAGGTGGGCAGCTGGGGCTTTCCCGCCCGGGAGCCCCGCGCTGCAGCGGGGGTGGACATTTTCCAGGGAGAGGCGAATGGCGGCGGCACCGCCGCAGCGGAGGAGGAGGCGGCCGCGGCCCTTCCCCTTCGCCCTCCACCGATGTTCCCTCCCCGAGCACCGCCACCAACCTCCCCACTCCCCCGGCCCAGTCACCTCCGCTCGCCGCTGACCGTCCCGCGCAACCCGGCAGCCACCGCGGCTGCTGCCACGCCCCCGGCAATGGCGGGCCCCGCCCGGTACCGCCACCGCCCCCGGTACCGCCACCGCCCCCGGTACCGCCACCGCCCCCGGTACCGCCACCGCCCCCGGTACCGCCACCGCCGAACCCGCCCGCCCGCAGCCGCCGAGAGGCCTTGGGCGAACCGCGCGCTTCCCCTTGGTCCCCGGCCCGCCCTTCATCCCCAGGCCGTGTGGGGGCGGGCGGGAAGTGGGCCACCATGAGGAGACCCTGCTCCAGCTCTTCCCCCCGGCCCTTCGCATCCCCATGGCCCTTCTCATCATGTCCCATCTCCTCTCCTCATCCCCACGGCCCCCCTGATCGTCCCTCAGCCCCTCTGATCATCCACCAACCCCTTTGATCATCCCTCAGCCCCTCTGGTCATCCCCCATCTCATCTCTTCATCTCCTCAGCCCCTCTGATGACCCCCCCAAGCCCTCTGATCATCCCCATGGCCACTCTCCCCATCTCCTTTGCCCCTCTCCTCATCCCATGGCCCTTCTGATCATCCCCCAGCTCCTCTGGTCATCCCGCATGGACCCTCTCCCCATCCCCATGGCCCCTCTGATCATCCCCCAGCCCACTCCTCATCCCTGGGACCCCTCTCCCTGTCCCCCCAGCCCCTCTCCTCATCCCCATGGCCCCTCCGATCATGCCCCCAGCCCTTCTCATCCCCATGGCCCATCTCCTCATCTCCATGGCCCCTTTCATCCCCCCATCCCCTCTCCTCATCCCTGTGGTCCCTCTCATTCCCCGAGTCCCTCTCCCCATCCCCATGGGCCATCTCCTCGTCCCCAACCTCTCCTGCCTGCCCCAGTGGCACCCAGTGATTTTTCCCCCTGGCTGAGGAGCCATTAGCACTTTTATTAAAAACACTTTTAAAAATTGCAAAACAATGCTTTCAGAGGGTTTTTCATACTGTTACCAGGCTGGTGCCCCAGCTCAGTGCCCCTGCAGAGCTGGCAGGGTGGCTATGGTGGTGGAAGACTCCAGCCCTCACCCCCAGAGCCGACAGCTCTCCTGCTGGAAGACAAATGGCCTGGCCCCCATCCTCAGGAGGCAGCGGATCATTCCACGACAAGCCCCCATTTTCCAGCAGACTGAGTGATGAACGGACCTGGGGTAATTCAGTTGCGGGGAGCGGGAGGCTGGACTGCCCAGCCCCGCTTTTTAAGGCAACTCTGCGGATCCCTGCAGCAATCTGTCTCGGTGCTGCTGGCTCAGAAACCACATTTCCGAGGCTGGCTCCGGTGCCCGCTCGTTCTGCCTGTTACACGCTGTCGAACCGGAGCCTGCACAGCATCAACCGCCGGCGTGCAAAAGGGTGGCACGGCATCACCAAAAGCTGCCACCACTGCCCGGCCAGCTGTGGTGATGCCAGTCCCAGTGGCGAGCGGCGTCTGCTCGAGTATTTCCAGCGCGAAGCCCTCGGGGCTGTGGGTGAGCTGCGGTTCACCGTGACGCTGCCGACGCTGTAAGTGCGATGCATCCCTCTCTCGAGGCGAGAGATGAGAGTCAGGAAATGGTTTGTGAGCCTGAGCTATTATGTGATCTGGTAATTCACCTTCCTTAGTAGAAAATCTAGAACACAAACGGCAGAAATTCCACAACGGTCTCTTTGTGCTCGGTGCAGGAAGAGGATAAAGGGTAGTCATACAATTTGATTGTAGGATTGCTCTGTTTAGATTTAATTTGGGGGAATTTTCCTTCAAATCCATACGAAAAATAGGGGGAAAAAAAGACTAAACTAAGTGGTATGAGATATTTCTGAAGTTAACACATTAGCAGGGCTCAAACTAGGGTTGGGTATATGGAGAAGCGCTGTTAGATGAGACATGTGAGGACCCTGCACCACATCCTCCCAAGGAGAGCAGCTTCTCTAGCAGATCCCTATTTTAGAAATTTAATACAACTCATTGCGGTCATTCAAATACCATTTTGATGCACCAGATATGAAACCCAGGCAGGTCACCTCTCATTCGGTGGAAATGTTTTACTCGATGGCATATAGGATTCTTTTCCACGTTTTACATACGCCTACAAAAGTGGTTGGAAATAGAGTATAAGCCATTTGTAAAGAAAGAGTATGACCTTCATGTCCAATCCTGCTTTTTATTTGCGCTTCATGTTCTAAAAATCTGTCTTGTGGATGGACAGTTGTCAAATGTACAAAGGTGAACTTTGTTGGACTTACCGAAATATGAAAATAAATTGTGGTAGCTTTTCACAGTAAATGCAAACAGCTTCTGTTGTTCCGCAGACGGCTCAGTGGCAGCCAAGCAAAGCAACTTCTTGCTTCTGGGTGAGTGACTTCAGCAATTTCTGGAAAGAAAAAAAAATAATCTGGAAAGAAACCCAAAGAAAAACCTGTTTTTCCTGAATAAATTAGGAATTTATCCTTAATTAAATTAGGAATTAATCCTATATGCATCTGAAAATAATGTAGCCAAAATTCCCAGCAGTTTTTGCTGCAAGAGCTGCTGTTCCTGTCAGTGTTCACTAGGATGAGGAAGCAGAAGTTCAAATCACTTTAAAATATGTAAGTTATTCCTTACTCTGCAGAACAGAGGAAAGGGGAAATCGTCACTTTCTCTCCCATACAAAAATCTTCAGCTGCTTCTGGTTAAGTTGTCAACCATCATCTGTCCATTTCTGTGTACCCGTAAAAACTCTAAACATTGCTGATTTTCTGATATTTATGATCTTAGAACAGTTTGTTAAATACTTTCCACATTCCAGTCTGTCCTGGGAAAGAATCTGAGGAAAAATCCCGGACATTAGGGAAGTCTGAAAGTCTAAGGCAGATCTGGAGTTTTGCAACTGACCTTTATTTACATAATGAGAAAGTCGATCTCTCCCAATTTTAGAGCACCAAATACTGTCATTACTAATGATACACGTGCACAAAGCTCATTAAGAAGTCACCTAATGGAGCAGTAGAAGGATAACACAGTGTGTCAAGGGCTGTGTATCATCATATCTAGAAGATGTGATCTCTGGACTACAGCTAGTGCCGTTGGGCACCCTTCAATCAGAGGTTACTCAACACTTTGTAGACTTTTTGGGGTCTACAGAGAGGTTGGAAAGGTGTCCCCAGGGTTTTGAGGCAGTTTTGGGGACTGCAGGAAGGTTCCGGGTGATTGAGAGTAGGAAAAAGGCTCTCTCCCTTTGGCTGCTCATTTCTTTCTAGGGCCCACGGGTTGCTTCTGCCCCCTTCTACCAGTCTTCTCCCACTTCCATCGCAAGAAGCAGCTCTTCCTCTTTGCTCCACAGCCCCTGTCCATCTTCCAGTTAGGAAGAAAGTCAAACCAGAACAACAACAACAAAAAAACCCAAACAAAAACAGAGAACTGCCCTTTCCTCCCTTCCCTGGGACTGTCTTATGTTACTCCTGATGACCAGGAGTCCCTCCAAGACTACCTGCAGAGACAGGCTGTGGCTGCAGATGCCATGAACATCCTCACTTCTGCCCAACAGCCCCTGTCCAGGTGGGAACCATCTCAAGTTCACCTACACCTAACCTGGGCCAGCTGCTATGCTTTCAGCCAACTCCAAAACTGATTAATAACTTTAGCAGCACCTTTTAGTGCTTTCTGTGCTTCCTCGATGAAGGGAACTGTCTTGTATCAGGTCAAGATCATGGTTAAGTAACAGGGCAAACTTTGGAAAACAGCCCTTGGTACTCAACCTCAGCATCATCTGTAATTAAAACTAGTAACACATACATGATAGATGAAGTGAGCCCGGACATTGGCAGGCAGTAGGTGGGTTTTTTTGGCTAACAATTCAGGCTTTCTCTATGGTCATAGCATGGTGATAATCCTGCTTTTTATGAGTGAGAAGAAGGTTCACAAAATGTGAGCTATGGACACTACAGATCCTGAGACAGGAAGAGGTTAACATTCACTGAGGAATTAATTGCACAGCAGGCTGGAAGAACATTACCAAAGTCATACACATCTTTCAGAAGCAAATACAACTCCTCTAGATGGAAGATACTGGATTATACTCCATTTGTGTGTGGTCTCCTGCCCCATAGCTACATCCTTATGGCTGAGTTGCTCAGGATGACAACGCCATCCATCTCTGTTGTTGCTGCATTCTCTATGGCAACAATTTTCCACATTGCTTCTGAATGATGCACAGACCAAGTCCTGACTCTACAACCAGTCTGTCCCCTGGAATATTCTCAAAAAAGTCACTGATTAGGAGACGTAGTTACTAGTGGTGTTTCTGGTAAGAGTTTTCTGTCTCACACACACTATTTTCCCGCCAACATGAAATATATTCTTCTAAATTGGCATTTGCCTTGCTGTGGGATGATTTACTGGGAATGATTTCTTCACTTGTGATCTGTCTCCTTTGACACTCAATCACAGTTATCAGCCTTTCAGAGAATGAATCTGTGAATGTGAAAGTATGAAAGAATGACAGGCTGAGGAGCAGAAGGGACTACTTGAGTCACTGTTTCCAGTCTCCTGCAATGTGTATTATCATGTAATGCCCTCTAGAAATCTGTCTGTGCTCCTTTATAAAACTGGTTGGACCAGTAGGTAGAAGAACAACGAGCAGTTACAAACTTTCATATTTCCAGCCTAAATGTCTAGTGGCTGGAATCTTCCCCATTTGAATCTGTCTGAACATTGTCCTGTATCTGAGCTACCTTCTTCCTGCTCTTGTCTCCCAATCAGTTTATAGACAGCCTTCCTTTTTCTAGATAATCAAGCCAAGCTCTTCCACTCACCAAGTTCTTTGCTCAACTGGTCAATAAAGTTCAAAGTTCTTTGGTCAACAACGTTGTTAATGACAGTAGGACAGAGACCACACCTTGAGGCCATTCATTAGTTACCTACTTCAGCCTAATAACTTTTGTTCCCAACGCAACTGTTAATGTAGCCCAGCAAACTGTTAATCTGCCTTAATACTTTCCCATCTTCTCCAGATTAACCAATAAAGCTACCTTCTTCCTGCTCTTGTCTCCCAATCAGTTTATAGACAGCCTTCCTTTTTCTAGATAATCAAGCC